AAGCGGGCAAGGTAGGGAGCTTGGATAATTATAGACCAATTGCTCTAGCCAGTGTGTTATCCAAAGTCCTGGAAATAATTTTGTTAGACAGATTATGTTCTTATTTATGTACCTCAGATAACCAGTTTGGCTTCAAGGCTAAGCATGGTACTGAGCTATGCATCTATGCTTTGAAGGAAATGGTAGAAACATATAGAAGACAGAATTCCACTGGTTTTATTGATGCCTCTAAGGCTTTTGACCGAGTTAACCGTCATAAACTGTTTTTAAAATTGAGACAAAGGGGTGTGCCCAACAGTGTAATTAGGATCCTGGCTTATTGGTATGCCAACCAGAGCATGCGGATAAAATGGGGGAATGCTGTCTCTGCGCCATTTGGTGTTAGTAATGGAGTTCGCCAGGGGGGGCTCCTCTCACCATGCCTTTTTAATATCTATATGAATGATCTATCAGATGATTTAAGTGGCTGTAAAACCTTGCTTTTCCAATATTCTATCTGTCAGGGCAGGTGCTGTCTGTTTGCTGCAAAACTAAGTATCTGGGACACATCATTACAGATGAAATGGCTGATGATGATGACATGTATAGACAGCGGCGTGTCTTATATACACAAGCTAACATGTTGGCTAGAAAATTCTCTTGGTGTTCAGATAAGGTTAAGGTGAACCTCTTTAGAGCTTGCAGAAGCTCCAGGTTGCTTATAATGATTGTTTGCGTATACTGCTTAGAAAACCAGGGTGGTGCAGTGCAAGTGAAATGTTTTGTAACGCACGAGTCAACACGTTCCATGCTCTCTTGAGAAATCTAATGTACAAATGTATCCGTCGATTGAATGTTTCTCATAACTCTGTCATTATGCTGCTTTCAAATCCGTGTCTCAGTGCTGTACGATACCAGTCACCTCTGTGGAAACATTGGTATAACTGCATTTTTTTATTTATATTTGAGTGTTGTATGTCTTTTGGAAATGGACCTAGTCTCTTTAAATTAAATAAAAGCTGAATATCCATAGATTTATTACACTGGGACATGGGACAGACACTTCTGTTTCGCAGTATATAGGTTTTGTGTGAGCTGACAAATGCACACTAACCTTTAAACACTCAACAATAATAAATAATAATCAAAAAACATATTAAACAATAGGTTTTCATCCATTTAGACCAGTGGTTCCCAACAAATGAAACAGGATCCTTTAAAGGGGCCACAAGACAAAATATCTGATCATCACAGCTGAAGCTTTAATTAAACGTTCTTAATGGTTAAGTAAAAGCATTTTTTGGTTCATACCTTGGAAAAGGTTAAGCTTATAGCATGGTTAATATTGAAATAATTAAGAAGACTGACATGAGACTCACATTTAACAAAACCACAATATCTTTCTTTCCTTATCTCTCCCTCATTTTGAAGGCTTGTATCAGAAAAAGGCTGGAACCACAGATTTAGGCTACTATGATCAATCTTTATTCAACCAGATGAAACCAGATAGGATAAAACCTCTGGTGATCTGGCCATGAAGGCAACCAAGTTAAACGTCAACACATAAATACAAATAATCATTGCTACAGATGGATGCAGACAGAGGACCCTGTGTTACATGTCAGACATTTGACTCACTGGGGTTGCCTGGTAATGTTGAAGGGAAGTTGAAATAACAGTTGAATATCTTGTCACTGTCTCAAAGGCTCCTGGGTGGATTAGAGCACCACAGGAGAGTGAGGGGGAGAGGGGGTTTCTATGTTTGGTCGGAATCATTTTAAACATAAATGATCCCAAATTATTACAAGACAGTTTAGAGGAACTTATGAAAAACAACACAGGTTTGGGAAGCAGAAACATGTTTAATCCTGTAAATCTTATTTTTGGATGATTATCTCTATTGAATATTTTACATGTAGTTTTAGTCTAGCAGTTTGGCTCTTTGGCAATGTCATTTTGGTTTACCACTTTTGACCAATATATCTCAACAACATTTGGAAGTAATACCTCGATAATAATATTCCCATAAGTCTTAGTTTACTTTTGAGTGCTGGTTATCGTCAGGTTGATCAAACATTTGACTCATTCTCTGTTTTTGCACTCGCTACAGACAGCATTCCTTCTTCTCATCTGACTGAGCCATCGGGATAAAGAGGCACTGAGAAATTTGCCTGCCGGCTACGCAGCATTTTACCAAAACATTTACAACAAAAAAACCTATGCAGTTTTGGGTCAAGAAGTCTCAATCTGCTGAAGAGGAAAACATCATTGTCCTTTCTGTGATCTCTCTCTGGCCTTCAGGATTACAGATACAAACTAAATCGAGGCGCTGTTTAACACGTCACAAACATTTTGGGAGAAAGAACAAATTGCTTATTTACACGTTTGCTAATGAGAAAATTACACTGGTAGATAAATACATGTAACCGCTCAGTCAAGATGAGTCATCAATTTGCGTTTTTACAGGAAGAGTAGAATAGGGATTTTTATATAAAAATATTCAGAAATGATTTTTCAACACAAACTACATTACAAGACATACATTAACAATTAAGGTACAGAATAAGAACTTTTATTTTTCATTTAATTGTGTTTCAAATCATGGTTTTCCCAAATGCCAAGTTCATGTCATGAGAGGCTATCCGTCATTTTGACTAGGAAACTTGGATATAAAATGATACAGAAGTACTTGAAAATTAAACAAATATGGACACCTTATATGTGCAGGATTTTAATCATTATCAAACCTCTGTTATCATACAGCTGTGTTTATGATGTTAAAGCTTGCAAGTTCTCAACATGGGAATTGTTTCTATCCATAACATCCGTCCTATAAACTCTGCATAAATACAGCCCGACTGACTCTTGGTCTTTAATCATCTTCTATAAAACAGATCATTATCAGAAGACACCAAAGCAAAAAGAGAAATGTCTAACAGTTTAACCTTAAGTTGAAGAATTGTTTATTACTATCTTCATGTTCCAGTGTCAGGGGCAGTTTGTTACAGAACACACCTGACCAAACAAAAAAAACATAATTGTCTGTAACCAAAACTCCCTGAACTGAAATACACTGAAAAAACTGAAGCCTTGACTTTGATTAAATGTATTATGTCCACACATTTTATATAACTGTATGAGGTTAGTTGAAAGCAATAATATTAAGTTGAACCTAATATTTTATTTAAACGTAACAGTATTGCTTTCACATAACTTAATACAGTTACGTGAAATCTGTTGACATAATACATTTAATTAAAGCCAACGGTTCAGATTTTTCAGTGTACAGCAGATGTAAGTGTTGTTTTGGTATTTATTAACAAAACATTTAAATACAAATCTACTTCTATGGCGACTGTACTTTTCAATCTTGTATTGAATAACCAATACTGTTTTATAGAAGTGAAGTTTGGACTGTTCCCGGCAAAGCATTTCGTAGTGGTTTAAAGCGTCAGCAGCTGAATCCAAAAAACTGATCACTTTTTTTCTCCTGCAGTTCAGACATTGAAACATTCAGTCATATAATTTAGTCATTACATGCATTTATTTGAGAGGAACAAATTTGCCATACATATCTTTGTGATTACCAGCACATTTCAATTAAGTTAACAAATTATTATTACAAATTTCTAAAAATTAAAGCATAACAAACAGTGGGGGCAGACTATCTGTTGGGTGGAGAGGAGCAGGAGGGTTTAGTGCTGCTCCTTTGAAGACAAGAAACAAACAAACACCTGCCTGTTTGTGCCTCAGGAAGTGATCAGAGCAGCTTCAGGCCAGGAGCTGGAAATGGGCGGAGACATCAGCTGATCAGATGTGATGTCTTTATTTCTGTCTCCTCTGAGGGAAGAGCCACCAGCGCCCTCTCGTGGCCACAGCTTCACCCAGCAGAGTAAACAACAACAACACTTTGATAAGAAATACAGTTGGCTGCCTCCTTGTGTTCGCTTTCATTACTGCACCCCGACTGCTACCATATAGTCAACCATATTTACCTTTCCTTCCAATACAGATTACCCAACCCCCCCAAAACTAAACAAAAACTAAATATTTGCTCTAATTTGAATCTGAAATATACATCAAAAAATATGGGGTTAATCTTTAAAAGCAAACCCCAAGATGGAAAATAAATGATAGAATGAGGATGGGGGGTGAAGAAGAAGAAGAAGAAAAGGGGGGGAAATAAATCAAGAGAAGGCTCGTATAGCTATACAATAAATAGAAAATAAGTGATTTCTCAAAGCAGCCCAAACAAAACAAAGACTGAATCTGAAGTGGTGAGTTTTGAAGGCAACATGAATGATGAGAGCGGAGAGATGACAGAGAGTACCAGAGGAAGACTGGTGGGGGGGGGGGGAGGAAGACGGGGGGGGGGGGGGGGGGGGGGGAGACCATATCAGATATTTCACTTTCCCACAAGTTCTGGGTTTTTCAGCTGGGAGCAAAATGGCCGACTTTCAGGAAGGGTTGTTTTGTTATATTAGTGTAGAGACAGTTGCAGCTCCTCCACATCGGAGGGGGACGCTGATTCCTGAGGGGCCAAAGTGAGCAAAGGGGGAGAAAACAGACGGGGGGAGGTCACTTTGGCAGAGTTTCTTATTTTTTTTCCAGAAGGGGCAGAAATGGCCGGGGGAGTAGGGGGACACAGACATAAAACGCTGACATTTAAACAGACATATTAACACCCCCCCCCTCAGATATAAAAGCCTCTGACAGCGACATACTTCCCCCTCTAAACACACGCAGGTCCGCTCACCAGGGTCCGTTATTTTTGTCTCGTGACTGTGCCATCAACCCCACTTTCCTCTCATCACCGATATATCTTTGTGTGTTATGAGGGGAAAAAACAAACTTTAATTGCTAGATATTTGACCGAGTACAGTGGAGATCTACACAAGAGGGCAAGACGAGGGCTGTGAGGAACGTCTGTTCTGTCTTTGGCTAGTGTTTTATCCCCCAGCTGTCTTTGCTCTCACGTACAGGCGGCTGCTTGTGTTTAAAGATTGCAGATTGACAAAATGTAGTGATGACAGTGTGATTTTATTCCTTTACCCCCCTCGTCCTCATAGTGTGCATATGTATGTGTTTCAGTGGTTGATGTAGTGTGGATGTGAAAGGTTCCTTATTTGTCACAGCAAAGCTCCAAAGTAGATTTTAGTCCTCCTGTGTCTTTCCATGATTTGCTTGTGTAGAGCTTCGGCTGTAACACCAGTTCTTCTGGCCTTATGGAAAGGTCGTGTTGGTGGTAAAGTCAAAGGAATGACGAAAACATTGTAGGGCAATGCAGGTCACGTGGTAGAGCCAGACAAACTATCCAAGTGCTTTTTGTCTTCACCGTCCCTGTGGGAGCACAAGAGAGAACAGTATTTCTAATTATTCTAACACAACTCAATAATAGCAAACATTATAATCCACGATTGATACAAATCTACTTGAGGGTAAACTCTGATGCCCAATCTTTGCTCACTGTAGTGTCCATTTTTTTTGCAGTACATTTTTGTCTTTTATGTTACTTGAGCTGCACCAATACATGCACATTTTCCTTAACAGATTACATCTACTCTATATACTTTAAACTTGTACTTCCAGCCGTGTCTACACTGGTTCCAGCAGCACCTGCAGTCTGCTGTCAGTTTCTTTATTAAATGTGTTCAGCCACAGTACTGCAGTGCAATTAAAACAGTTTGGCAACTCTCACAGGCCAATAGAAAATCACTGTAGTAAAAGACATATTACAAAAATGCTGATCAGGATCCAAAGTAAGTGCAGGTGCAATGGTACTAACAAATAACACATTGCAATCACAACTACGGCAAGTATGGGGGGGGGTCAACCTTTAGAAAGTGTGTTCGTAGGCGCACAGTCTGGTAATTATAACTGTCTGACATAGTTTTTCTTCCTGTTGGAGCTTTTTAAGTGATGTCGCTGTTTTGCCAGCATTACAGTTGAGTAAATGTTATAAAATAGACCCGTTATTCTTGTTTTTATGAAGATATCTTTTGGTCTCTAGCAAGAAAAAGGATATGTAACACAAAAAGAAAAACATATGCATCGTGGTCATTGTTATTTTAAAGGACGGCATAGGCAAATAATTGAGCAGTCTGGGCTTCCCTACTTTAATAGTCCACAGTTTGTATTTCTACTTCTTTAACAAAATGTATTTCCTGTGATGTCAGCGAGAAAACATCACATGAGGGATCATTGTGAAAGCACATTAATGGGATTTCTTTTAACGATAGAAAGACAGTTCCATATATAACAGAGAATGGGTGATTCGTATTGTTTTATCAAAGTTTTTATTTAGACCAATATTCAGCATGAAGACACTGATGGAGATGAACTACTTTTGAAGATTAGCCAGTCTGTACAGATAAAAGTTTACCTCACGACCTCATGGTGCGTCTCTCCCCGTCTCCAAACTGGCTTCCAGCAGCAGCTCCTCCAGCTCCTGTCCGCAGCTGACACTCACTACACACGGGACACATAGGACAAATTAAACCAAAAACATCTCCAGCCTCAAACTAATGCACATGTGACTCCTCCTCCCATAATAAGCAGGGATCGGTGGTTACAGAGACTCACCGTGCTCCATCACACAGCTGCCGGGCTTTGGGCTCTCAGCGTCGAGGAGATGGAGGGAGAACTCTGGCTTCAGGCCGTTGGGTAGAGCTGAAGCGATGATCTGTTCCTCCGGAGCCTCGGCGAAAACCTCGTCCTCGTCCGCAGAGCTCTCCTCCAGTGAGTCTTCGTCTTGGACTGGAGAGACGGACTCGGCTGCGGCAGGTTCGGTCCTCTGTGAGGCGTCTCCTGCTCCAGGGTTTAACTCCTGAGCTGCTCCCTGAGAGACAGACGCTTCCTCAGTCTGGACAGAGAGGACAGGCTCTACTTCCTGTTCATCGCCCTCAGTTTCCTGCTCTGGACATGGTTCCTCTTGTGTTGGTTGGCTGTCCCCTATGTCTGTTAAACTGGGTTGTTCAGTTTCTGAAAGGTTGGCTGGTGCTTCCTGTTCTTCCTGTAGTGGAAGTGTCTCCTTCTCTTCTTCTTCTTCTTCTGTTTGGTTCGGCGCCTGCTGCTCCTCTGAGACAGACTCTACCTCCTCCTGTATCTCTTCCTGCTGCTGCTCTGTTTGAGCCGCAGGGATACTAGTCTCAGTTTGACTCGGTTCCTCTAAAAGTGTACACTCTCCTTCTGTGCTCACCCCTGTCTCACCCTCTAAACGGCCTTCCTCTTCCTTCCCCTCCTCTCTTTCCTCTTTTCCTTCTTCACCAGTGGGCTCATGTTTGGAGTCTTTAATGCTCTCTGCCTCCTCCTCCTCGTCCTCCTCCTCCTCCTCAGTGTGCTGAAGCGCTGCCTCCTGCACTAATGAGGAGTCTGAAGGCAGAGCTGGTGCTTGTTGACTTGGGTCTGTCTCCTCTGGATCTAAAGTGCTGGCTGTCACCTCCTCTGAGGGTGGACTCGTAGACTCTGGCTCTATCTCAGTATCTAGCGCGACAGGACTCTCCTCTGCGAGCGTACAGTCTGTTGACGGAGCAGCTGGGGTCTCCTTCACCTCCTCCTGGGTCACTTGTGTTTGGGATAAAGGCGGGGTCTGCTTTGTTGAGGGTGTGTTCACGTCTACAGGCTTCTCTGAGGCCTCTTTCGGCTGGCGGGGGACTGCAGGGGCTCTCGTCAGAGGTTGAAGAAGCTGAAGCTGCTGCTGCTGTTGTTGTTGCTGCTGCTGCTGCTGCTGCTGCTGCTCAGGGGGGCTCTCCACCCGAGTTACCATGAAGATCTTGTGCCCCCTCCCTGGACTAGAGACAGATATACAGCGCCCAGGAGAGGGAGGGGTCCCGGGGGGAACTGTTGCCTCTGTGACGGTGATGCCTGAAATAACGCTGGGCCCAGGGGCGGGTGAGGCAGGTGGGGGGGAGGATGTGGCTGAGGCACTGCGGGGGGGGCTGGGTGGTCTGGGTTTGAGCAGAAGTCTGGCTAAAGCGAGTGGAGGAGTTTGATGTGGAAGAGGACTTCGTTACCACCTCCTCTCCGTCCTCATCATCAGTGTCCGAGTCCGAGTCCAGGATCATCTGAGGAATGCTCGTCTCGGTGCCCTCTCCTGATTGGCTGACTGTCTGTGCTTCATCTGCTGTTGCTTCAACTTTTCCCTCTCCCTCTTTCCCCTTTGCGTCCCCTCTGTCCTCTGCTGCTGGCTCCTCCCCCTCCTCTTCTTCTCTGGTCCCATCCTCTGTAGCGATTTCAGCCATGGACGCCGACTGCCTCATCATCTGCTCTGTTTCCTCCTTCTCCTTGGCCAGAATGAAGTTCCTCTTGCAGCCGTTCTGGATCTCAGCCAGCAGGGCACGCTGGGTCTCAATGAAGCTCTTTACCTGAGGGACAAAAAATAAAGAAATGTCTAAAAAAAATGGGGCATAAACCACAAGAAATCAGAATAAACAACTAAATCAAAGCAAATCCTGTGTCTTTCTAGCCCTTAGGCTGCTTTAGGTCAGTAATGTCTTTACTTAAAAACATAATGCTCTTCAAAAAGCCATAGCCGACGGCGCTATGGTTACCTATGGGTTGAGGAGACTTCCAATCCTTCTCTCCTCATTTCCTGTCCTCTCCACACAGCTATTTATTAAGATACATATTTAGTTAGACATATTTGGTGTTGCATAAAGAATAGATGCCCCCTGTACACACACACACACACACACACACACACACACACACACACACACACACACACACACACACACACACACACACACACACACACACACACACACACACACACACACACACACACACACACACACACACACACACACACACACACACACACACACACACACACACACACACACACACACACACACACACACACAACACACACACACACACACACACACACACACACACACACACACACACACACACACACACAGTACAGTACAGTAGTGTGTTTTGTTATCTTTGTCTGTAATTTATTACTGTATCCTTGGCTACTCTTTTGAGTTGGATGGAGCTGTGTTGCACTTTTGCCCCGGAAAAAAATCCCCTTGGGGAAAATAAAGTATATCTTATCTTTACTTTCCATCTTTTTTTATTTTGTTAAAACATTTTTGTTAAATTCTGTTACGTCCCTTTACTTCCTCTCCTCTATCCCCTTCCCTCCGCATTTCCCCATGCTCACAGTTTCTTTCTTGGGCTCCCGGTCCAGGTCCAGGCGCAGCAGAGAGGTGTTGACTTTGAGAGCGAGCGACAGGGCCATCAGTCCGCCCGTCTTTATCTCATTCTCTCGAAGGTCCAGGCGCAGCAGTCTGGGACTCTCAGCGATGAATTCAGCCACAGCCACAGCTCCTAGAGCACAAACAACAGAAGAAAGAGGAGTTAAAAAAATAGCCTAACAGCAAAACCTCCACAGAAAGCGACAGACACTAGTCCCCACCTTCGCACGACAGTTTGGTGGAGGCGAGGCCCAGCCTGAGCACAGAGCGGTTTCCAATCAGTCCGTCTTTCAGCTTGTGGACCCCTTCGTTACCCACAGAGTTATGGCCGAGGTTCAGGGTCTCCAGACTCTGCGTGCATGGCTGAGGGAGGGAGACAAACATCAGAGATATTGATGTGTTGTAATGGTGTTTTTCTAAAAAGAATGTAAAGCTATGGGAGAAGGCATTTAAGTTTTAACAGCTGCCGTTTGTCAGTGTGTTTCATGGTGTTCAAGAAATGTGTGTACTATCATATGAACCGTTTTCAAAAGACTTTCAAATATGTAATGTATTTTATAGTTCCGACAACTACAGTATGCATACGTTTAGTACTTTAGAAAACATACACATATGCAGGTTTTTTCAGTCTATTTGATTCCTAACAGTATATCGTTTTGACATTTTTTAGAGTCTGTATTAAAGTGCATTTCCTTTCAGACCAGAATGTTCTACCTATTGAAAATATAATAGAATAATTATCCTGTCTGTGTGTGAGAGCCCACACTGGTGGCTGGAGACCTAAACAAATTCCCTTATCTTTTTCAGTGTATAAGAAATGTCTGTTTCTCTGTTCATTGTCAGTGTAAAGGCCTTCTTATGATACTGTTAATGTTAAATATCCAACGTCACAATCTCACGCAATGTGGAGATAACTCACACTGTGGTTATGATTCACAGTCATGGGATGTCCTTTATCAGCATGAATAATGGTTTTAAGTGCATTTCGGTTTGTCCTGCAACATCTCACAAGCATCAGCCTTACTAGACAAATTACTTGGGAAGAAATCTCCAGTATATACACAACCATGATGTGTTACGGGAACACTTTCATGCGTCATAATTCTCCATACATAACATCTAAGAGGTTGAAAGCATTAATTTGGCTGTTTTTGTTTGGTAAAATCATTTCAGCTCTAGTGATTTCTCTAAACATGCAGAATTATAGGCATTCAATAATCGCTTACAAACTTGCGAGTTGGTTCTAATAATACGACACAACAGTATTAAAATGGCAGACTTAATGTAGATGCTGTCCTACCAAAACAATGACTGTGATGATAATTGTAATTGATTATCTATGTCAGACTGCTGTGAATTCAAAACAAGATAATGAAGAGAAATGGAACACGCTCCCAACTGTTCACCGAGTGTCACACGTATTACTGAGGAGGCTGCGCAGAAATGTCCAGGAGAAGCAGACATCACAACCCTTCTCTACACTGCAGAGGCATCCCTCACCTCACAGCTGTCACTCACACGTTTACACAGGTTAATCAGGTAATCAGGTTTCTCTAGTGAAATGCATCCACGAGTCATTCATCTAAGAATCAAAGACTTGTTAATCTTGTTTGTTTTGAACAAGATCTATCAGACACTAAGGAGGTTTAAAAGAAACATGATCAAATAATGTGTTCAAATCAGATTATCCCTTTGTTTTACATTGACATTAATGTGGAGCAGCTTCACTCTCTGTTGTCAGTGAAACTGTGTATATGTGTACAGGGCTTTTATTGTGAAAGGTAAGAGCAGTTAATGGTTACTGTGATGTTCTTTACAATGTGGGATCAACAAACGAGTTAGCCGTCTTGGTTCAGACTACAGATCATTGGGTCATTTTATTGCCTTCCTAAGCAAACTTAACTCAAGCGCTATCTTCCTTTCCCAGAAGCCAAGAGTGGGCTTATTGGGCCAATTTCAGTGTGCAAACAACATTTATTTTATAATGCTACAGTAAAGAAAGAAACTGCGTTTATTTCCACTTTTTTAGGTTTTAAGAGGTAAAAAAACACACATTTGATTCATCTTAAAACATCTGATAAGTGTGTGCACGTGTGTGGATGTATTGTCCCACAGTGTGTTTGTGTGTGTGTGCACGTGTGTGTGTGTGTGTGTGTGTGTGTACCAGTGCAGCAGCGAGGTAGCCCATGCCATTGTGTGTGAGCTGGTTGTTCCATAGCACCAAAGTGACGAGGCCTTTCCTCTGCTCTTTTAGCCCTTCACACACGTAGGCCAGACCTGCGGGGACAAACAGAGGCAGACACATTTAGTACATCTGTGTTTAAAATATCAACAAAATATCATGAGAATTATAAAAAATGTGAAGTGTTCTGGTCCGCTAGCAGCAGCTTGAGTGCACTTTGTTTTGCATTGCTTTGTTAACTGTATAAGATTACAAGTTTTAATTTACAGAAACATTATATTAAGGTAAGGTTATTTTAAACAATTTTGATGCGCTCAGCTATTCTGTAACACAACAACAACAACAACATCACATCCTATGTATTTGCATGCAAAAGTGCTGAGTCTGAGAAGAAGAGGGAAAATACTGTATTTATTGGTGGAAAGGTTTAAGAGAAATCAAACAAAAGGGCTAAATGTAATACTTTGCTGTTTTGCTGGGAGGCAAAAAAAAGCAAGTTAATCATATTGTGAATTTCAATGAAACCAAATTATTATAACAAAGTTAGACTGGTGATGTGTTTAACGCAGTGAACAGATGATAGAAATCCTTATTGCTTTGTGCTGCAGCTATAGAATACACAGAGGCACATCTGAGATCAAGGCCCACTGGTTTCTACTCCCCTGCATGCCACAATACTGTGTATAAAAACATGCTCATATGTAGACCATTTCATGAGTAATGAGTATTTTATGTATCCGTACAATACTTGCATGGGTTTTATTATGTTCTGTTTGTTATATTATTTTGCATTTATGTGGGTCAATATACTATCATTTTATCTCAGTTTGTGAACAAGGCAATTCATAAACACATATTTTTAACCAAATAACGCAAACTAAAAACAGAAACTGCTGCAGTGCATTGTACCAGAGTCCAGGATGTGGTTGTTGCGCAGGTCCAGAATCTGAATGTTGTAGTTGAACTTGAGCAGGTTGCCGAGTTGAGCCGAGTCCTGCAGGCCGTTGAGCTTGTTGTCTGCCAGGTACAACTCCCGCAGGTTCATGTTCATCTTCAGAGCCGTGGCTGTCCGGAAGAATACATTATAAAAAGGTAAAGGTGCAGGAAGAAGAAATACAAAATGTCAGGAACAGAGGAACACATTCAGAAATGGGGATTATCAAACACTGGGTTGAAAGAGAAAGCACTCTGGGAATCTTACACAGTAACATGAGCGGTCTGCCCGACAGACCGGCGTTCTCCAGGTGGAGCACTGCCAGGCTGCCGCTGATTCTGAGCGCTCGTGCCACAAAGGGAGCCGAGTGGTCCAGCAGAGGAGTGTTGCGTGCGTCCAGGTACTGCAGGGAGCTCGTCTGAGGGGGAAACACCAGCAGAGACGCATATTCATTTACCATGCAGGATTAAAGTTGCCAAACTCTTCGTCTAACCTACAAAGCACTAAATGGAAAGGCACCATCATACATAAAAGATCTTTTAATCCCCTATTGTCCCTCTAGGCCATTACGCTCCAAGAGTGCAGGTCTAGTAACTCCCAGAGTCCGGAAACCAGATCAGGAGTCAGAGCTTTCAGTTACCAAGCTCTCTGGCTCTGGAACCAACCTCCTGTTTTTATTAGGGAGGCAGACAGTGTCCAACATTTTAAGAGCTTGTCGAAGACTTTCCTTTTTAATAAAGCCTTTATACTTGGAGCTGGTTTTAGATTTCCCTATGTTTGTCATCCTGAGTCCTACATTTTATTAGTATATTATTTCATTGTTTTTACTGTCTTTTTGTTGTATTTTATCTCGTTATATATTTATGTGGTTCTTAGGTTCAATAAAACATGTATACAGACAGAGAGTACATTCAACAAGTGAAATGGAGATTGATAGGAGCCTGTTTTGAGGATTTTAAGCAATCAAGTATGACATTAGATGACCTATAACATCTGGCTAAAACACAGAAATATCCTTTGTCCTTTATTCCTAATCCTGTATAACCTCTTGTTAGCCGTGATAACAGCGTTAACCACTGAACAGTTAGGAGTCAATCAGATTCCATAAGTTAAACATTATTAAATGAACACTGTTGCCTCGATGAAAGAAGTTCAATGTTGGTTTCCATCTGCTACATCCTCTGCCTCCCCACAGGGAAACAAAGACACTCTTGTCAAAGTATAAGTGCGTTAAGATCTATCTATTTACTGAAATTAGCTACTGTGGCTTTTTATTGACCGGCAATCTACACGCTGGTGTTTGCTCTTCATTAATCATGAGGCTGGTAAGAGTGTAAAGGAGTGCCGTTTATAAACCCTGATCAGATGACAAATGAGCATCTCTCACACAGTCATGGTTGTGATTAAAATACCACTGAGGTTCGGTTATTGTATCATTAGTTCCTGTGATTAGGGCTGTTTTCCCTTCAGGAACTACATCTTAGATAAACAAATAAATAGGCCACAATATATATAAATAATAAAGACTGACAAGTAATTTGTGGTTTGGCAAACAGATGAATGTTGTTCACTGCCGTGCACAACACAATGAACCAACCAAAACACATCCACAGCTCCACAAGCTAGCTCCCTAATATACTTAAGCAATAGCTCACGACAGGCCGTGATATATGGCCATTATATCACAGTTAAGGGGCGTGGTTCGGCCCGACGCGAAGTGAGCTATTGCTTTTATAAAACGGTTACCAAGTGTGGCAATATGAATGAAAAATACACACTCTAATTTAAATAGTTGTTATTATTAAATAATGATGTTCAAAATAAAATAGTCCCTCCGTTGCCTTCTGCACAAAACATAGTGCGAGGTGGTTGCTATGCAACAACACTAACAACAGCTAGCGAACAGAGAGCGTTGATCCATTATTTGGCTATTTATTTACATTCATTTTTATGTTGCCGTTCATTGTGCACCCACTGAAAACCTGTCCAGCATCAGTAGCATGGCTTACGTGGTTACTTGTATAGGTTGAGGTTGTTCTAGGCTGTTACATTATCTTTGTATTGATTTAACATTTGGTTTAGTATTGTTCTTTACAAGTATCATCTAACGCTTCTTCTTACACCTGGAAATCACAGTATTTGTTTGACTTCACCCTCTCTATCTGTCTGAAACAAAACAACAAGTTCCTTCACTTGGTTCGTTTCACAAAATCTAACCAGCAGCTGTTGGTATCGATGTGTCTTCCCACACATGTTGCTCGAGAGGTTGAATTAATGTGTTTGCATGGAAAACCATTTGAATATCGACATCAGTGATGATTGATGTTGAAGAGCATCACAAGGGGCACATGATGGACGTGAGGAGCAAGCGAGGAAAGCTTGAAACCCTTATGTCTGAGTGCTGACAGAAAACAGCCCAGCAGGAATTTAGCCAGAGATAAAAAACTATAATTAGATCGATCTACTCTCCTGGGCACAGAGCTACTAACTGAAGTAGAGACTTAACGTCAGAGGTAGGACAATACACCTTCTTTTCGGCAAAACAAAATGACATAGGATAAAGTATTTGGCCTTGCCACTGAAGCAGACAAACACTCAGACCGGTGTACTTTTACCTAGAATTGTCCGCTATAACTCTCCCCTTTGAGGAAAGAAAATCACTTTCATAATCCTGTTTACTCAGAATTTAGCACAAAAGGGGCTTGAAATGTTTGTATGCCACTTTCTAAGAATACATTAATAAACGCATGATACTGACCCTCGTGGTCAGTTATGAAGCGCCCTGCAACTGTTGAAACTGATATCATTCGTTGTAGGACTCCAAAATTACACCAAATAGCTTCAAAAATGTGCAGAACAGTAGTTTTCTTATTCTGTACATATTACACCAAATTGTAGTATTGATAACGTTTATGTGTTTGGTTTGGTATTTAAGAACGAATTTTGTGTTTTTTCCGTCTTTAAAAAAAATCCTGGGACCATTTTGGGGTAAAAGTGTCCTCACTTTAACACAGATTTTTGTTTTTGGATTGGAGTACTTTGTTGATCCATAAATAAATCATATCCTTTCCCATCATGTCCCTTTTCTCTGCAGACGATGTTTTCCACTGTGGAGAAGGATGGTCTCTCACCTTTCTCATCATATGAGCGGCGGCCTGCCATCCCCGGGTGCCGATGTGCTTGTTGGAGGAGATGTTGAGATGTGTGGCGGACTCGTAGTACTCGATCATGTCAAACAGAGCTGACGCACCCTGAGGAGCACAGACGGAAAATAAGGGGATCATATTAATTACATTTCAGATTGAAATCATACAGTTTTAAACAAAGTCGCCGTGTCAAAGTCCTTGAAGGGATGTTAGGTGATATAATGTGGAGCAGCTGTAGTTGCCACGGTAACAGTCCCTGGGAGTAGGTGAGGTACGGTCTATAGTTGCAGATAAAAAGTCAGTGGACCTTTGAAAAAACTGCTACCATCTTCTAGATATCATTCTGAATGAAAGTTAGAGTAGGGCTGTGACTGACTTACTTTCACTATTGATTAATCAGCAGATTTTTTCCTTGATTCATTTTTTTGTATTAAAACTAATTGAACATTCAGCAAAGATTTCTCACTATTTTTCTTTCTTGGTCAGATCAACGGTCCATTCATGACACCAAAAAGCTTAAAATCCTTACATTTTGAGAACCAGCAAATATTTGCCTAAACATAACAAGTTAACTATAACAACAGTTGCCCATGTGTTTAATGTTGAATTTGTTGTATTTTACCAATCAATTGTTTAAGCTATGTTTATAAGATAAATGCAAAGATCGGCATTCATGACACGCCTTGAAATTGTGCATCAACTTGGTGCATGTCGTCTTGTTTGGCAAAGGAGCAGATTAAGGATTTAAGTCGATTGTCAGGTGATGCATTCAAAGGCCTCTCATGTGATCACAGTGGTTTAATCTCGTTATAGTTGTGGTAGTGGGGATGCATCTCTCTCATCTATCACAGATTCACAGACTACGTGAAAGTGTTGACACTGGAACTACCTTTTTTTTGTTTTTTCTTAACAAGTTATTAGCATGTTTTAACAGTAAAATTAGCTATTGGGTCTTGAGCAGTCATGAGAGGATTATTTGTCCCTTGCGTCTTTCAAACAGCAACAGTTAAAACCTCAACACATCAAAAACCAAAAGCCAGTGGTGAGTTCTCTCCTGTGCAGCCAATGGCAAAATGTGACTAGCAGATTAAGAAGGGAGTATGAGTGTATCCTCCGACTGAAGCTGATGAGAAGTAACACAATCTGACAGGCTGCAGCATTGCGTCTCATAACCTTTCCCTTTTGTGTGTGTGTACACTGGGAGACTATACACAAGTGTGTTTATCTAAAGGGTGGGAGAAGATTAGTCACAACCAGCCAAATAAAGGACAGTCTGTGTTAATGCTCCCTATGCCTGCTGCTCCCTAAGCTTCTTAAAACATATCTCCAAAACTATTTCTCTTTCTTTCATCCTCCCACATCATTCCCAACAAGACGCTGTTACTGTTGCTCTGCCAAATCACGCTGTATATCTGTCACTCCCATCTTCTCGCTTCCCCATTTGATTCATTTGCTATCTCTCATGACTCATTTTCCCCATAAATTCCTCTTCTCCTTTCAGAGTTTAATTCAAACTGAGCCCAAAGGGAGACACTTGTCACAGACTGTTCTATGATGACTCAGTCACTGACTCAATTATCTCATTCATGTATATTTCCGGGGCAACGCTTCATGTTGGTGGAAAAAAGTGCATACGTCACTCTGCATTTGTTGAGATTATGTGAAGCTCTGGATTGCGTTGAAAAAAGTATATGTAAATAAGTAATATATAATGAAACCAATTAAGATTTCCGACACTTCAATTCTCTAGTGATTGGTTGCAAGTGGAGTATAATTACACAATCAAATGTACCTGCATGCAACTGTGCAAAGCCGGACATAAATTCACCTAGACGGGGTGCTATATTTGTCCATCCCATGTTCTGAGGCTGGACTATACCAGATAAACCATATACACATCCATCCATCTCAAGTCTAACACAAGTAGAGAACACGTGGCATGAAACCACAACTAAACATTTATCAGTGAAATAGTAGAATACCATCTGCAGTGTGTATCCTGGTACATGGCAAAAGAAAAAAAAAGGACTGGCTCAAAAACACCAAAAAGGTATGTGTAATTCCTTTCTTTTAGACTATTAAATGGATTGTACGGTGTCCTTAGGTGTTGTGGAAGGGGCATCCAAATAAAATATGTTATTATTCATATTAACTTTCATGTAAAAATAAGGTAGCACCTATATGACAGTCTCAAGGTAATGTGACAGCTGACCAAATTATCCTTTGATCACAATTATAACTTAAGTGTGCTAAAAAACTGCAGGAAATGAGGGCCTGAATGAGTTCTGCAGCAAACGGGTGGAAGTACTGACATTTCTTTGCCAGGAATAGAATAATGAGCAGTCATTAAAGTGACCCTTCCTACCCTAAAGAAACGTATCCTATGTGGCGCTGGTTTAAAGCAGAGCTCCCGTCTGTGAGTCATGTGTATTTGGAGCTTTGTGTGAAAGGAAGTAGCCATGGCCTGTGTCCCTCTGCCCCACACTGCGTCTGTCTGTGCGTGTCGACAGCCCAAACGTCCCTAATGGTGTTTACACAAGTGGACATCTGGAGTAATCAGAAAATCCATGACAAACACCCCACATCCTGCCAGTACAGAGTGAAAAAGAGGATCAGCATGCGACCGGGGGCAGAAACAGAAGACAGAGAGAAAAGGTGTGAGTTATCGATGAAAGAATGCTAGCTGCACTGAGGAAGATGAAGGACGGGAATGGGATGGAGACAGTTTTCAAAGACAGGATCTTCTTACATCTTCTTCCAGGTTGGTCTGCTCCAGGTCTATCACTTTAAACTGGACCCTCTTCAAAATCTCCTCCAGAGACTCACATGCTTTGTAGTCCAGCTTCTCACCTAAAGACATACATTGATAAAGTGAATCTCCCAATTTAGTAAAAATAAGTCTTGGTATCTGTTGATTCCCACAAGTTGAATTTAAAGTCAAGCTGATGTATTGGTGCTTACCTTTTAGATCCAAGCATTCATTGCGCTGAGTCAGGTCTTTCAGTTCCTGCAGAAACAAAAAGAAGCAGTGTCAGTAAGAGTTGAGTTTGTGTATTACTCAAAGTAAGCAAACTTTTCACGTGTTGAAACCTTCACATCACACAGGAGGCAATGCATTAGTGCTGGGGCTTAAACACAGATCTAAGATAAACGTTTAGTGCACAGACAAGCATCTGGCCTTAAAGCACCTCTAATGCCTCTGAGCATGTAGAGCTCTGTGTGTTCAACTTGACCATGACATGTCTCCTGTCATGTACTCTGACCCCACAGAAAGATATTTCGCCTCTTGTCCTGGTAAAACATGCAACCAGCCCAACAACATAGAGTGCTGCTCTAAAAACTATGTACCAGCAAATCCCTCTCTCTAGTCCACTGCCCGGCGCATTCAGCATGAACCCTATAACCTCTGCCCTCGTGCCAGACTGCCATCACTAGTCTGTGCGTGTCTGAACATACTGATGAGGGTCCAGCTGTACAGAGGTTTCATGGCCTCCTGCATGACACAACAAAGCTCAAAAACATGATCATGGTGTGTGATGAAACATTTCAAAAGCTTCTGATTACAATGAGCAGGAAACACTATGACACTAAATGCAACCGACTGTAGTAGTCATGAAGATAATTCATCTATGAAACCGACTGAATCATTCACTCTAGGAAGCATTACATGAGAAACCATAAATGGAATATTTCTCCAGTGTTTTCTCACTACCTTCTGTGAAATATGGTTTAATCAAAAACTCTGGATGTTCGTCATTAACCAGATGGTGTTGAATATGTCAATACAACCTGACGCACATTTTGGGAAATTTCACAGCAAGCAGTCTTTGTTTACATTTGAATGGAGCATCTGTCAGTGAGAATGACTTATCAGTGTAAATGCCTCCCTGACAGAGCTGCCAGAACCCAAAATAGTGCATGACGCATAGTGTGCCTCTGCACAAGTGGTGGTATGTGTGTGTGTGTCTATTGTGGGTGGACACCATCAAGCAACTGTTCTGATCTTGTTCTTTAGATTCTGTGCTTCTATGTTATACATCTTCACTGTTTTCATCAGTTTTTTACTTGATCAAGTTTGTTATAGTTAAATAAGCTGCTTCAAAACCAATTTCCTTAGCCTGAAGTCAATAAAGAAACGTGATACCTCGGGGTGTATAGAAAACACAGGTGGAGATGGATGACATAACTTCCTGTGACTGTACAGTTTAAGCTTGGCATAGACTGTACTATTTCAAACCATTTCTGACCTTTTCTCAAGGCTTAAATCGTACAGTGTATACTGAGCTTTTGTCCAAATGTCCAGGCCTTTCCATAATCCACGCCCCTTAAAGGTCTCCTTTAAAGGTCCTACCTTACAACCATAGAGAGAACGAGTTAGATAGAAAGTCTAATGTTGTGTTAATGTCTGTTTGATTTTTAGATCATCAAAAAGATGGGAAAAGGCTATCCTGGCTCTGTCTGAAGGTACAATCTACTAACACCTCACAATTTCTAATTAAAGACACAAGTTAACATTCAATGCCAATTTGTAAAAAGTACAATTCATTCATTCAGTGGTGCATCAGCGTTCTATCATCTAATCCACACGGACTCCGTCACGATTGGTTGTAACCAGTGTTGGGACTAACGCGTTACAAACTAACGCGTTACTGTAACGCAACTACCTTTTGCGGTAACTAATAACGTTACTAGTTACCTATTCCCATTCAGTAACGCCGTTATAGTTACTGTGATTTAAATGGGTGCGTTACTGCGTTACATTATGTGATCCAACTGAACCGAATCTCCCTGCGGATGTAACTTACAGGCGAATACAGTGATGTCCTCTCACAGTACCATGGAAAAGTGAAAGTGATCAGAGAGGAGTGATGATTGGTTAACGCGGGGTAACATTTCAGGGTAAGCCAATCAGAGACAGAGTTGGGCGGGTCTTGCCTTATGGGGAAAATACACAGACACACAAACACTTGCTAACACACACACACATACACGGCAACGCCCACCACCAGAACACACACACACAATGGCAGATGCGGGAGCAGCAGCGCATTTACAACTTGGAGATATAACCACTATTTTCAATTTGTGGGGATAAAGGACGCAAAAAATATTACGGTCAAATGTAAACTGTGTGCAGGACAGAAAGCATTGTCCACATCGAACAACAGCAATGCCAATCTCCTGAAGCACCTAACTAATGTACATGGGGCTATAAAACTAGTCACCAAAGACCCCACGTCTCAACCACCGGCAGTGACCCAGATGGAGCAACACCATCTAAACAGCCAAAAAACAATTTTTTAAAATCGCCACATGTCACCCAGAGTCAACTAAACAGATTGATTGCCAGGTATGTTGTTGAGGAGGCTACAATAAAGATGCCTGTCAAAATGTCTAAACATATCTTTTGTGTTTTATTGTTCCACTACATTTCATAATGATAATTGCTACAATGATGGGGAGTTGTCTTTTCTCTTACTGTGCCACAGAAGAACACAAAAACTTGTATTTTTGTTGTTATTATTTTTAAAGTAAAGTAAAGTAACTTGTTACTAGTTACTTTTATAATTTAGTAACTAATAAAGTAACTAGTTACTTTTTTGAGAGCAGTAACTATAACTATTACTTGTTACTTTTTAAAAGTAACTTGCCCAACACTGGTTGTAACTGCCGGTCTCAGACATCTGTCAGCAGCAGCGGGCTAACCTGCCTCCATCAGGCTGACTGACAGTAGAAATGTAATAAACCAAACTTGTTTTATTGTGGCTCCACAGGAAGAAACCAACAACTTTAGACAAACTGGGAGCTTTGATCAATTATTGCATATATGGCTAATAAATTCAAAACATTCTTAAATAGGAATATTTAGGAAATGTGCAGATTAAGATTCATCAAACCCATCAAAATAGACTTGAAGCGACAAATTCCCATCTCAATTAAATGAGCATGTCTGTTCTTGGAGATGCACAAAGTGGACCAAAACACTTCTAAAAATGCCTTTCGCTGTTGAGTGCAACACATTGAAAACACAATTGTAGCTGCCTGCCTTTGAAATGGTTTATCAGTCTGTCTAGACGACATCAAAGGGTCCACTTGCTTAATATAGATGCAGCCTGCATGACCTTCACATTGTGTCTCTAATGAAAATGATAATATGTCTCGCTGCTTAAATGCCATAATAAAAGCAGGAGACTCTGTAGTATGTGGATGTTGACAAGTCTCAAAATGTTCATGCACAGCTAAATATATTAACACATTTTGCATAGATTTACAGTATACTCCCTGCAAAACAAAACTACCTCCTTCCAGATGAGCCACGATAGAGGGAGCAAGTTCCGGGACATTTAGAGGAATAAAGTGTGCACATGGGCTGCGTGTGAGTCATTGCATAACAGGGAAACCACTTGTCCCTGAGGGAATTGCTGCTGCAGAAATGTGACACAAGGCTACCAAGTGTCCGGGTCTTAAGACTGTTGGGATTAACTGCGGAGCAGGCATTCAACATGCAGCTTCTAAATAGTGACCCTTATAAAAACACACAGAAACACAAACAAACTACCAGAAATGTACATAACCTATCGGGCCCCTGGAACGCTGCCACGCGTACAGCGCAGTTGGACTTAATAAAGAAAGTATTTAGTGTAGAGGAAAAAAACTGTAAAAGGCGGAGCTCCTCTTGCAAACCCCCCTCACACTGGTCAGCCATTTGGTCTGACTGGCTTGTTTATGTGGCTTAGTTGGCAAGGATGACTAAGCAGAAATGAGAGGGGGCAGCAGTGGACCAGAAGACTACAGAGGCAGCGAGGGATGGACGGAAGCCAGACATGAGCAAACATGAGCAATCACCAAGCATCACAGCCTCTTGTGCTTTTCCACAAGTAACTGACACTTCTTTCTCTCAGCTGACCAGGCGTGTGGAGACTTCATGCGGAGTCTCTCTCGGATCACAAATGTGTTCCCTTCAACATCCCCTCACACACATGGACACACACCTGCAGGTACACATGTGCAGATCTCCAGTGGAGAGGCCCAGTTAAGGGTTTTAAGAGTGTGTGATGCAGCAAATGTACATCAGAAGAGAAGCACTGCCACTCCTCCATCTGACTAGAGGGGAATTGGTTAACGGGATGTTCAAACACAAATACCAGCAGAAAACAGGCATAAACACAATTCTGATTATCGAATATGTTACAGAATTACATTTACAGAATCACTGGGGTATTTATTTAATAAAATCTTTTTTAGACAGAGGCTTTCATATGAACAGATTGTTATTTATTTTGACACTTTAACCCAGGGGTGGGGAACCTCCGGCCTCCGGGCTGTATACGGACCGCGAGACCATTTGGTACAGCCCTTGAGGTAATTTATAAACACACGCAAAAAATAAAAAAATTAAAGAAATCTAGACCGCAAAAGAATTAAACAAGCGAGTGCCTGTTTTTCCTGGCCAAGGACAGGTTCCTTGAACACAACACAAGCCTAACGTGTCATCACGTGGTATATGTCTCGTCTGACAGGGGTGTAGTGCTGACGGAGAGCACCAGAACGCCACTCCGTACACATGCCGCAGTTTTTGCGTGGCTGTGTCTTTAGTTGTAAGCCCAGTGGCGATCTGCTCATCTGTCATACTGATCATACAGTCAATAACTTTGTTGTTATTAGCATCTGGTTAGCTAGCTATGCTAACGAATATAAGAAGCTTTCTCTACAACCAGTGAGGTAAAGGCACATCTTTATATGATTGCAGTACTTAATTCAAGCGGTAGTTTTAAGTTATGGACAGTATACCTTGAGGTCATGCACCCGACAAGCATTTGAAATATTGTCTGTCTCACATGGCTTGTCTCCGTCTGGCCACAAAAAACAGGAAACTTGCTCCCATTGCTTCAAGAAAACTCTACTAAAACGCCTCTTTACTCTCTTATATATTCAAAACATGGACCATCCTCGAGCATCAGGTTACCAACATCATTAAAAGTGGGTAACAAGTGGACAGTTTTAGGTTGTCATTCTGCTTTACGTGACAAAAAAGCTTGAAAAAGTTAGCATTTGAACATATTAATAATCACAATACAGATAAAGCACATACAAAAGCACAAGTTTGGAAGGGGTACAAAGAAACAGCCCTGAGGCTTCTCCCCACTGGTTTTGAAGAACTGCTTGAGGGATTGAGAGACACATGACTGTGCCGGCTAACCCACAAGAGAAGCTAAAAAAAAGACATGAAACACTCATCTGTCTGTTGGGAGTAACAACCACTCGAGGCTCACCTCCACTGGATACTATCGTAGCACCTGACCAGAGTCATGGTGCATCATGTCGTGCCTTCAAACCACATTACTTGCCTTTAAAGTGCTTTCATCAGCAGAAGCAAAGGTTTAGGATGTAGTAATTAGAAGTCAATTTTCATCAACCTCACAAACACAAATCTTTTTCAATTACAGCAGTTGTAATAACTCTACAACAACATTTTGTTGGCTTTACCAGGACTTCCGTTCCGTTTCCAGCCAGCTGCACAGTGCTGACTCAACTGGACTAGTATCTATTATCATACATGTTGTACAGCTTTGTGATATACGTAGTTATTTGCACCTCAGAGGTTTGGACTTTGCCCAGCTTGTACACTCTAGACATTGAGAGGCAGAAAGTTAGTCAGGACACACTCCAGCTAAACTCCAGCTAAGGTTGTCAGTCAGTGAACTTGATGTTGCTTGATGTGAGCAGCACGCCCCCATGTCTACAGCTCTGTCAATACATGACAAGTGTTAATTCTCTGAAATGGCTTTTGCTAAACAATTTAATTTGCCTGCTTGGTTATCAGTAGGGATGCTCCGATCCGCCCACTAAGGTCAGAACTAGGGATGCTCCGATCGATCGGCCGCCGATCGATATCGGCCGATACTCACTCTCTGCCGATCGATCGGTGTTCTCTAAAAATGCCGATCGCGAGAGCCGATCGCATGACGTAAAATTATGACGTAAAATACATGACACTTTTCTCTGTGCGCGGCAAAACAAGCTCGCCAAAATGGCTTCACCAGTCTGGCAGTATTTTAAGGTGTCCGAAAATGACAGTAAAATAGCGGTATGCAACGTGTGTGTGAAGCAGAAATCCTGCAGCTCCACCCGCTGTGACGGACCGGTGAGCGGAGCAAAACACGCACTAAGAGTTAGACCTAACACACTTAGCTATTTTATCTACCTCTGGAACAAGTTAAACTAGTTATAAATATATTTATTCTTCACTGTCGGGTCACTCATTACTGGATCAGTGAGCTGCATGAGACGGATACTGACAGGCTGTCAGGAGAGAGAGGAAAAGAGAGCGCTTCCGCTCATTTCTCCCGTGTTATTATCCAAAGTTAATATAAACTTGAATAATGTACTTCATTTGAATGTAATAATTATGTTGGTTGTTGTTTGTGGAAGCACCAGTGAATGAGCCCCATTAACTGAGTTTTAAACACCACTTTAAATGGAAGATCCCCATAGGCCCCGCCCACTCGATCGGATCGGCGATCGTCGACCCCAAAATTGGCGATCGGAGCATCCCTAGTTATCAGCAGGGGGACCTTAGGGTTAGTGGAAGCGTTTGAACACATTATGATCTCCCGTTAGCAGCTTCAGTGACAAACACTGAAGTAAAAAGGGAATAAGCCACATCAATCTGGAGTAGAAAAGGGGTAAAAAGTAGGAGCTCAGCAGCTGGAGAACGTGCAGGATTTTCCACTTTGCTAAGAGATATAGGAGATGAAGACATTAACACTTTTGCTTGTGTTATAAAGAAGAAGAAGAAGAAGAATAGGGAGGGATGAAACCCTCTTTAATGGTCACACATGCAGAGCACACAGCACACACAGTGAAATTTGGCCTCTGCTTTTAACCCATCCTAGTACAAGGAGTCTAGTACTAGGAGCAGTGGGCAGCTATTGTACAGCGCCCGGGGAGCAATGGGAGTGGGGGGGGAAGGGGGGTGTCCGGTGCCTTGCTCAAGGGCACCACGGCAGGGCAGGAGGTGAACTGGGACCTCTCCAAGTAGAAGTCCACACTCCATATTTAGGTCTGGTCGGGGACTTGAACCAGCGACCCTACGGCTCCCAGTCCAAGCCCCTACTGACTGAGCCACTGCCGGAATGAAATGTTGTGTGAGTGTCTTTGTGATTGCGCTGATACATCTTTTCATCTGTGTTTTGTGTTGGCTTGCAGCTCACCTGTATCTGTTTGAGCACTTTGGATATGGGTTTACAGTTGAGTTTCTGACAGGCTTGTTTGTAGGAAGAGAGGATCTCCTCCACCGTCACATTCTGAGCTGCAAAACATGGAAACATAGAAAACAAGTTAGGATTGCTTTTATTGCTTTGTTTATTTGAGAAAACAACACACGCTCACACGAGAATCAGTGGAAATGTTACGAAAGTGTCAGGTTAGTATATTAATATATTAAGCTGCACAGTACTTGCATGCATTAAAGTTATTAACTCAATTTAACTATGTTTGACAGCTTAAGAGCATGTCAGCTTTCTTTAATAATATGGGGACTTTACAAGCACCAAGGTTGCAATATGACCCTGTAATACATGCAAAAGGTTTTTATTCTCACATCACTTACTGCTGCATGTTTTCTTATCATCAGTTTAACTGGTACTTATTTATTTGTGCGCTCTGCAGTTCACATCCCGTGCAAACAGTACACCCCATATCAATAACAAAATCTGAAAACAAAGAAGCATCTGAAATGGACTGTGTTTCAGCTCTGGAGCTTATCCTGCAGATCAACCCCCCTGACTCTTGCATATGATCAACATTATGAAGTCTAGGACTGCAACACAAAATGGTCCTGGGAACACTCTCTTAAGGGCTCCCCTACTTAAGTAAGCAAAGGAGGTATTGTTCTTGGTGTGTGAGTGGGTCAGCTGGCGCTGCCTTCCCAGACTGTTGCAGGGCTAACTCCAGTCAGATGACTGGGCAACATTCAGCCCCACTGTTCTGGCTGAGAGACTCTGCTGAGAGTGAGGCACTTGGGGAGAGAAATATAACGAAAGAATCAAAGAAGAAAGAAGGTAAACATTAGTGGTAGGGTGGGGTCAGGGTTGCTGTGAAACTCACAGCTGAGGCAGCGCACCACCTTCACCACAGGCCTTTCCCAGCCGACCTATAGCAACGCAAAACTGAACAGAAATGCGCTCACAGGGAAAGGATCCTGAAAACCGCGCTCAGACATCTACCCTTACAATTTAGAAGTTTAAGTTCATACAAGGCTAATTATGAGGCTGGTACAAGCCCACCTAAGACAGTAGGTCATTTATAAAACCAGGCAGCAAAAAAGTGGACATTGGCCTGGGACGTTACTATTGTGCATGCACACATCGCAAAGCCATCGCTGAAACGATAAATCGTGCAGCCCGAGTCAGTACATCAAATTACATTAACACAAATAGGATGCTATACATTATCCCAGACCTAGTTTAAAGTGGACCTATCATGCTATATTTGAATAATATAGTGTAGGACCATACCTATATAAGGCATATTTATACTTTCTTTTTTGCAAAATACCAAACAGATCATGCATTTTAGCCATGCCTCATTTTGCTCAATTTGACATTTTTTAGCTCTGTGTTTGTAAGGGCAGATAAGGGCAGAACAGCACCATCTACAGGCCTGGCATATGTACTACAGCGTCTCCAGCGCTTTCGAACGGCAATGTCCGTGGCTGTCTCCTCCTGATTGGTGGAGTTGGCCCAATAGAGTGGCGAAGTCCCTCCCACTTACTTCCGGGGTATGGGACCTTATTCCGGAAAAGTTATGCATTGAAGTCAATGGGGAGAGAAAACTTATCTTTCGATCCCGTTTGAATTGTGCCATGAATTACACATATGATGTTTGTCAATCTTAAAAAATCATTTCCATGTCAAAAAAGTCACAGTTTGTCGTAAAACTGTTGAAATATAAGACTATGAAAAATACGTAACTAGAAAGACTACAAATCCCAGAGTCGCGTAAGTGATGTCACAATTGTTTACCTCCACCATTCAGATACCTAAGATCAGCGCAATATAGATATAATCTATCTATATGGCGCTGGCTAAGATAAGATAACTTTAACAAGATGTCTGTGTGCTTAGTACCAGGTTGTTATTATACCAGCAATGGGTCTTGCTCGTTCTTTTGCTTCCCGTCTGATGAAACGACCAGGAGTGGCTTGATCAAGTTAGCTACCTAGCTAGTAGCTAGCACGTTAGTTAGCATTACAGCCTTGTCATTTTTATTAGCCTTAACATGAAGTAACATTAAGTAACCCAAAATGTTAAACAGTAAGAGTAGTAGTCATATTTCGTGAACCCTTTGAATAGTACTGTCACCGGTGTGATCATTCTATAATACACCATTTAATTCCGGGGGAGAAATGCTAACGCTAACGTTAGCATCGGCGATCTTTTCTACTTCATGCTATCTGCACAAATGGTTGACATTAAACATTAAAACGACCAGGCAGTTCAGAGAGAATCAAAGGAAGGCAGGCTTTGCATGACTTTCTTCAGGACGTGTTTCATTGTGGTGATAGTGAGGGTAGTCAATCGTTTGTTGACAAGACAGTAGTGACGGCCATCTTGGTGACGTGTGTGGTTGACCAGAGATGTAGTTCATTGAGCCTTTCACACAAACAAATGTGTTACTTCACAGTTTTACAACACATTTTAATTTTTTTGACTTGCAAAATTATCTTTTAAATTGACAAACATCATATGTGTAATTCGTGGCACAATTCAAACGGGATCGAAAGATAATCTTTCTCTCTCCATTGACTTCAATGCATAACTTTTCCGAAATAAGGTCCCATGGGGCTCAACCGGAAGGGGAGGGACTTCGCCACTCTATAGCCGTAGCGCCACCATCCTGACGTCAGGACAGTGTTCAAATCTGGATCAGTTTTTATCAGATCCGTTGCAGCCCCTTTTTTTTAGAGATTTGGGTATGGAGGAAAATAGAGAGGGTTGTGTTTTCTGACACTTGGTGAGTTCCCTGGAACACCGGGGACACATATTCATGTATAAAAGACGTACAAAAGTGCATTTTGCATGATAGGTCCCCTTTAAGCTGTGAATAAGGACAGATAAATAATTTCAGGGTAATCAGTACATGCTGACACAGACAGAAACTGTCCTATGCTTAGACTGTACTACAGTACTGTACACATACTGTAGGGCTAATGTGTGTGTGAATCTGACTTTTGCAGCAGTCAGCATTTTGGTTCCTCTCACCAAGGTGACAATTTGTCCGCTCCACTTTCAGTTGCCTCCATCTCGTCTCCAACAGTGTCCTCCGTCAGTTTCACACAAGTTCATCACCCACCCATCTGCACCAGGTAGTGGCAGAACAGACTGTACATTTGGATGGTTGCATCTGTAAGTCTTTATGTTTGTCTATTTTGTCTGTATGTTTATATGGTGGGACGAAGAGGCAGTTCAAAAAGATCTGTATGAGCAGCCACTCATGTCTGATCAACTGAGTTATACATTCAGCATCTCTATTAACCGCACGTCAGACTGTGGATGAAAATACTACGAGAGACGATTCTGCAGTAATGGTGTAAGCGTAAATGTGACTTAATTAAAGGGCGAGTCAGTGCCACATGAATGAGATGAGAACAGCCACATCAACTCTTCCAGTTGCTTTGAGACCAGGACCAAAGAGCCACTCAAATGGAAACCAGTCTTGTTTTTGCAGCAGGAGTTTGCTCTTACCGAGTGTACAGGAACAAACATAAAAACACAATTAACAGGTTACATGAGGACATGGTGACTACTGCGTTCAGTGACAAGATATATAAATGATGCAGGTTCAGGACTGAAATATGATTCGACTGTCTGCCAAATGCAGTACTTAACTCCTGAAACTCTGTTGCAATCAAGTGCCACTTCATTTACCCGAATATGTGCTTCTCTCTAAAAAGATAATCCTGGACACAGTACTGTAGATTCAACCCAAAGGCGTCTCCTAACACTGTGTGAGAGTGCAGTCTTGTAAATGTGTGCAGAACAGTGAGTGTGTTCCAGTGAACACTGTGTCCTTGGAAAAGTGTTATTGTGCAGAGTCGCTGCAGAGCAAGTGTGTGTGTGTAAACACTTCCTGAGGGAAGGGTGGGGGGTAAAGGGTGGGGAGGGTCCGATGCCTACTCCACAGTATTTTTCATTAATTAGAGAAAGAGAAGGGAGAAGAATAAATAAAAAGCTTCTACATGGTCTAATCATTACTGTGCCTAAAAGCAATGCAAGCAGTGAAAGAAGACTGAGATTTAACAACTCAGCATAGGAAATGGTGAAAAAGAGACAAAGAAAAAAATAAACTGAGGAGTCAAACGCTTTGTGTTAAACAGAGAGCTTCTGCCCTGCAGGGTCATTAAGAGCTGAGCTACAGCTGTTGCTCTGCATTTCTGCTTGCTTTGTCTTGGTTTCATTGCACTCCCACCAGTGCTGCTAGTGCATGTATGGAGGGAGTGGTGGTGAGGAGGTACGTAATAGGGGGGGGGGGGGGGGGGGGGGGGGGAGGGGAAACCACTGCTCCAAACAACATCTTTGAACAATCCGGTTGAGAGGTAGTAGAGAAGTAACGTTTGATTCCAACGAGTGTAGAAAGAATCACTAAATACACCTCTTCCTTTGAGAGACAAGACTACCAAGATAAACCAACCAGTTTAGGAGCAGAGTTCAGCTGCAAATTCTCACACTTTACATCAATCCAATTAGCTCGGACTATCCCTTTGATAAAACCAAACCTGCTCTTCATGTTGTACTGAAAGGGAAGGGCAGCTGCTGTAAGAACACTTTGGATTAAGATTTCAGGCCAAAGAGACAAATGAGTGAAGGGAACGTGTCCATCTCGTCTCTGACTCAGTGAATCTGCTAAATGACACAAAGGAGCAGCTCTCTCTCCTTGTTATTGTTGATGGCCCCTGTCCACTGTGCAACAACACACACTAAATCACTAGCTGCTACCATCGCTGATCTTGTGAGGGAAAAAAACAAACAAACATAAAAACAAACAGTTCCCTGCAACAACAGCATCTAGCTCGCTGACTCGGATCAGCAGAGGTACATTTAGCACAGTGGGCTTTATGGAAAAGATAAGAAATATGATTGACGAGGTTCTGACCGTTATCTCAGCCTTTAGTGGAGCAGACATTTTGAACAATGGGATCAACAGCAGGATGGAGTTACTTATTTGACACGATGTGGACATGTTTTCTGGTAGTTCAATATATAAACAAACACATGGTGACAGCTATTTTTGTAGTTTTTCTCATGTGAA